GTCAAAACACAAACACTGGGCTGACCGAGACGTTTCAGTCTCTGGTTCCAGACTCTGGAATAAACTCCCCACCGAAATGAGACTTATTAAAAACGTATTTATTAGACTTTTGGATCCAAATTATCATAAAGCTCAATTCAGTTTTCAGTAAGAACATAAAGGTGTTTAGCGTGTTCACATATGCTGTAAAGTGTACTATTGAAGTAGATTTGACATAAACCACCGACTGTTTCTGACTGACCTGAAGTCCTATTTGATTTGCTTCATATGGAATATTTGACATGTTGGTCCAGAGGGACAGTTGGACAGTTTTATTGTGTCTGGACTCCATTTCTTGATTATGTGGGGGGGTTAAGGATGTAAGTGTAAGGTTTCATCATTCTGATACTCTACATGTTCATGCAGGACTGTGCTGTGATTAAACTGGAATTTGTTTTTGTTTTGGGGATTGGGTGTTAATGAAAATAAAAATGTGATGCTTCATGTTCAATAAAATATATATATATATATATATATATATATATATATATATATATATATATATATATAAACATAGATATTTAAGCTGGTGTTTAATACCCAGTAGCATGGTGACACTTTATTTTATTGCATTGTATTTTATTCTTTTTTTAAAATTTGCTTTTATTGTTTTTATTTTCTATTGTAAAGCTCTTTAGTTCACTGAAAGAGTTGTTGTAAAGGATAAAAAGTATAAAAAAAAGAACATTTATATTTACATTTTAAAAAAGTTCTCACAATAATCACAGTTATCATCAAAAATATTCATAATTACAGTCGTAATAATCCAGCCTCTTAGACCCGCTCCAGAACACCAGGACTTTAACCCGACCAGAATGTCCAGAAACATCAGTGTCCGTGTTCTAAAGCTTCAGATGGGGGAGAGTGGGGTAAGTCGAGCCCTGTGAAGTTGTCTAAGACATGCTGTATTCTGAAGATGACAGTTCTGTTTACAACAACATCCTGAAACATCTGCAGAGACACGAGTTCAAGACAAAACGAGGACTGATGGACTGATCCTGAAGATGAACATGGATCATCTAACTCCACTCTCCCCGAACATGTCTGCTTCTTAAACTTCCAGGACTTCCTGTTTCCTCCTCCTCTCGTTATCAGACTCTCTCTCTCTCTCTCTCTCTCTCTCTCTCTCTCTCTCTCTCTCTCTCTCTCTTTCAGCAGAACAACAGACTCTTCACCTCCTCCTCCTCCTCCTCCTCCTCCTCGTCCGTCTCCTTTCTTCTCTCCGAGGAACAAAAGCTCCTCTCCACATCACTTAGTCCTGACCTGCTGCACCTGTGAGCGGCCGAGCGACACTCACTCAGACTGGAGAGAGAGAGAGAGGGGGGACCATCCTGAGAGGGGTCAAGAGTCAGGGTCAGGGGTCGCAGGTCAAGAGGAAGTCCTTTCTGCTGACAGAGAGCCACTTCTCATTCTCATCTAATGGAGCAGCCATCTGTCAATCAGGAAGAGAGGGGAGGGGCCAACAGGTATCACTGGCTCTCGATTCCGCCGCCGCTGTCCCCTCAGGGCTCGGCGGCGGAGAAATATGGCGCAGGGGTCCGGTTCGGGTCGTGGGATTGTTTACGGTGTCCCCTCTGTCCCCCGACCCCGAACTGTGAGACGAACACGAGTGTGAGACCGCCACTTTAATCGAGTTTCAGAGATGCAGAGGAAAGACGGCGACCGCCACTGATGGTTAAAATTAAAGTCCAAACTGAGGGGGGCGGGATCCTCCTCAAACCTCTCCACGTTTACAGAAAGTGAAACTGAAGCTACATGTTGTTAAAACGGTTCAGTGGGACAACAAACCCCAAACAAGCCCCGCCCCCTCCAGACAAACCGCCCAGCTGATCCAGAGTCTGTGTGAAAAACGCCGTGGCGAGGATTCGGGGCTGTCTGTTGATCCGCGATCCTTCAATTAACCTGAAACCCGATCCGCCGTCACCTGGACTCAGAACGCTAATACCAAACATTCCCACTGACAGAGAGCCCACGGGACTCCTCCTCCTCCTCCTCCTCCTCCTCCTCTTCATCATGCAGCTCCTTTCTCAGCTCTACCTGTTTCTGTCTACTTCCTGTTCCTGTCTCGGGGTTCTGGGACGTGGTTTCCCGTCTCTAAAATGAAGACCGCACAGCCGTGTCTCTTTCTCCGACGCTCGTTTAGCCTCTAATGATCAGATCGCTGATTTAATGATGGCGTGGCGGTCTGGGAGAAGCCTCTCGCCGTGTTTCTCAGAGCGCCAGGTCCTGCAGGGATTATTGGGGGACCAGAAGTCCAAAACCACAGCTGCTCCCTGGGGAAGGTGGCGAGGACCTCCCCCTCTGAGTCCCGGAGGAGCAGGTGGAGCGTGGGAAAAAACACGGCTTACAGGTAATAGATAACTGTACCAGCCTGTCCTATAGAGCGCCGACTCACAGTGAACAGGTGCATTATGGGAAATTAAAGGATGTCTTTGTGTTTATAATCTTTAAATTAATCCAAAATAAAGACGGTTAATCCGGCGCTTAATTCACGTCATTATGAAGGTTTCAGTTTTCAGGTGAGGAGACGAGGGTTAGGGTTAAAACTGAGGTGGGCGGATACCTGGTGTCAGGTTTCACCCCCACAACACACCTGTTTACAAACAAACAAACAAACAAACAAACAAACAAACTCCTCAGTCTGGTTCAACACTTAAAACGAGTAAAGGGTATCATGAAGAAGGAACAGTACCACTCCATCCTCCAGCACCATGCTGCTCCATCTGGACTCAGACTTGTGGCTCATCAGTTTGTTTTGCAGTAAGACGATGACCCTAAGCTCTCTGCCGAGCTCTGTCAGGGTTACCTAGACAAAAGAGAAGAGGAAGGTGTTCTTCAAAAGATGGTTTGGCCCCCTCAGTCTCCAGACCTTTCTCCAACTGAGCTTGTGCGGGATGAATTGGATCGATCGGTCAGAAAAACACGTCCCACGAATCAGCGTCTCTTTTTAATGAACTTCAGAAAGAAAACTTGGTGAACGAATGCCTGGAATATGCCGAGCTGTTGTTAAAGCCAGAGGAGGTTTCTTTAAAGAAAGTCTAACAACAATAACTCAAATACCTTGGAATATGCCGAGGTGTTGAGAAGAGATTGTGATCAGTCTGATGTGGTCCTCTGTCTCCTCACAGACAGGAACTGTAAAGAGTCAAAAACTCCTGAAGAATGAGTGTAAATATGTCAATAGTTTCTGTTGTGTGTTTGTTCCAATCCCAGTATTTCTGCTCCTGATAGACTTGAGAGAATGATGTTCAGGTGACCTTGACAGCAGATTTTTACCTGAGCTCGACCTCTGAACGACCTTCCTCAGGAGGTCACTGACGATCTCATCATGATGGCTGACCTCCTAATAAAGACGTAAAGACTAAATAAAGACTTCTTAACTTCCTGTTTGTTAGGTCTGCATGTGTTTAAACACTGTGTGTGTGTGTGTGTGTGTGTGTGTGTGTGTGTGTGTGTGTGTGTGTGTGTGTGTGTGTGTCCTCATAAACCACAGAAACCGACAATAAAAGGCTTCAATTAAAATAAACTTTGAGACATTCAGCATAAAGTCCGGATTTGTTTCCTCCGTGAAGACGGTCTTGAGAAATATTCAATAATTAAGATGTTTAAACATCTTAGATTAAAGTTTTTGATAAAGTCGGGACCTAAATTTGATGGGTTTCAAAGTCGGGACATTTTCACAAAATGGGGACATTTTTGGGACAGTGTGTCGACCACATTTTTTTTTTTTAAATTCAGGAGTTTTTATTTAAAAAAGGATTGTTGGTTTGGACAGACTGGAGAAAAGCTGCTTGTTTGGAAAAAAATTAATGTAATTTTCTTTTAACTGTTTTTGAAAGTTTTTAAGGCTGATTTTAATTTCTTAAGTATCAACAAAGTGATTTTAAATGTTCAAATGTTTGTTTTATAAAAGTCTTGAACTTCAGTTTAATTTTATTTCTATGAAAGTCAGTTTATGGAAAAATAGATTTTTTTTTTTATTATGATAAAACATCCATGAGACCCTGATTTGACGAACATGTAACTGTGTCACAAAATAAAAATAAAAATAATTAAGAAAAAAATAATTAAACGTCTTTAAAAGTGTTGGTGTTTTCGTTTCTTCATCGTCTGTCCCATCAGCTCCATCTCTTCATGTCTTTAACCTGACTCCTTTTCTTCTTCTGTGGTGTTCAGAGCGGCCCGCCGTATTTACTCCACAGTCCAAATGAAATTATCGGCGCTGCGTTGAGCCTGATTGAGAAAAGCGTGACATAAAAACATCAGGATGGCGAGTATTTTCAGGGTGAGATGATCCAAACACTCGTCGTTGTGGCATCATCAAAAAAAAAACACGAATCCTTTTCTTTCCTGGACGTCAATCAGATTGTTTTTTTTTATTAAGCGATTAGTTAAGAAAGAGAAACACTGTGATGCGGCGGGATCTACGGGAAGCGAGCGGCGGCCTGATTGCGGCCTCTCACCGCCGCTGGCCCCTCGTGAGCTGAATGCAGTAATCATTTGTCTGATTTGAGGACGAATGAAGCGAGACATCCTGATTAATGCTGATTTGGACGGATGGATGGATGGATGGATGGATGGATGGAGGGATGGACCCCCCTCTCCTCCACCATCAGCACCAGTATCACCAGCAGCTCAGACTCCCACTGAGGAGGATCAGATCACTCACCGACGGACTCCAATCAGCTGGTGTTTAGTTAGCAGACAAAGAAGAGGGGGATTGTGGGAAATACGTGTGAAACCTGAACACAGAGCCGACGTGTTTGGATCCAAACATCCGGAGAAAATCAGGGAAGTCCTCCTGACAGACAGACGGACCGCGGGCAGAGCGACCGTTTCACTAAAGATAGACGCGTGTGAATTCTAAAATGTATTTAGGGTCACATGTGTGAATAAAAAAAACAACAAATGTTTCTTTTCCCTTTAAATACAGGGGTGAAGTTAGTTTCAGGTTGGATATATTTTCCTGTAAATACGGCGGTGAAGTTAGTTTCAGGTTGGATATATTTTTCTGTAAATACGGCGGTGAAGTTAGTTTTAGGTTGGATATATTTTCCTGTAAATATGGCGGTGAAGTTAGTTTCAGGTTGGATATATTTTCCTGTAAATACGGCGGTGAAGTTAGTTTTAGGTTGGATATATTTTCCTGTAAATACGGCGGTGAAGTTAGTTTTAGGTTGGATATATTTTCCTGTAAATATGGCGGTGAAGTTAGTTTCAGGTTGGATATATTTTCCTGTAAATACGGCGGTGAAGTTAGTTTTAGGTTGGATATATTTTCCTGTAAATACGGCGGTGAAGTTAGTTTTAGGTTGGATATATTTTCCTGTAAATACGGCGGTGAAGTTAGTTTCAGGTTGGATATATTTTCCTGTAAATACGGCGGTGAAGTTAGTTTTAGGTTGGATATATTTTCCTGTAAATACGGCGGTGAAGTTAGTTTTAGGTTGGATATATTTTCCTGTAAATACGGCGGTGAAGTTAGTTTTAGGTTGGATATATTTTCCTGTAAATACGGCGGTGAAGTTAGTTTTAGGTTGGATATATTTTCCTGTAAATACGGCGGTGAAGTTAGTTTTAGGTTGGATATATTTTCCTGTAAATACGGCAGTGAAGTTAGTTTTAGGTTGGATATATTTTCCTGTAAATACGGCGGTGAAGTTAGTTTCAGGTTGGATATATTTTCCTGTAAATACGGCGGTGAAGTTAGTTTTAGGTTGGATATATTTTCCTGTAAATACAGCGGTGAAGTTAGTTTTAGGTTGGATATATTTTCCTGTAAATACGGTGGTGAAGTTAGTTTTAGGTTGGATATATTTTCCTGTAAATACGGCGGTGAAGTTAGTTTCAGGTTGGATATATTTTCCTGTAAATACGGCGGTGAAGTTAGTTTCAGGTTGGATATATTTTCCTGTAAATACGGCGGTGAAGTAAGTTTTAGGTTGGATATATTTTCCTGTAAATACGGCGGTGAAGTTAGTTTCAGGTTGGATATCTGACGGACATTCTCTGAGGATCTACCGGTGTCTTCTCACTCTCCATAACCGGGAATAACAACAGCAGCGCGGTTAAATCTACTCGACACCCTCACTGTCAACGTCGGTGTTGAATAAGGGACCGTCAATAAATTACCGGTGATGCTCTCAAAAAAAGAATGTTCTACCTTCTACTGTTTTGTTATTTTCGCTGTGATGTTTATTTTTATTGCCTTTATTATTACGATGATTATTATTTTTATTATATAATATTATGTTTTATATATATATAAACCATTAGTGCAGTGTTTTGTTGTTGTATTCTGTACTTTATTATTATTATCATTATTATTATTATTATTTCTATATGTTAAAATATTCTTCAATCAAATCAATTTTAATTGAGCCCCTAAAGTTCTTTGTGTGCTCCTTACTTTTTCATGTGAAAAAAGTTCATGTCACGCCCTGTAGGGGGAACTTTTCTTCTCCTGGTTTATCGTCTTTTTAACGTGTTTAATTTTATAAAGTTATTTTCTTTATTAAAATGTTAGTTTAACATTTTCTGACGGTTTTATGGTTCTCCTGAAAACAAATAGATTTCTACGACTCTGTTCTGGTTTTGGGTTGATTACCAGGGGCACCAAAAGAAAACCTAATCCAGATCAGTTTGAAGGTTTTTAGTGGACCAGCTCTCTGTGACGAAGACCAGAACCCGTGAGAAACTTTAGATCGGACGAATTCCTGCCGCAGTTCGTGGTTTTGACCTGCAGGTGGAGGGAGGACTTCAGCTGGAGGGTCTGAAACAGAGGAAAGGTCACAGTCGGGGTTCACTCCTGTTATTTAAGGTGAGGCGAGGGGGGCGGGGCTTAGAGGACAACCTCAGGAGCAGTAGCCATGTTTAAGTTGAAGTTTGTGTAGGTTTAGATCTGCAGGATTAACAGGAAACCCTCGTTAAGTTTTCTGACGAGGTTTTTAATTTAAAGAGTTCACACAGCGTCTCTCTAAAGCTCCTCTCCGCTCAGTCCTGAGCGCACATCTCGTCTGAACCCGCCGCCGTCAGCTCCAATCAGCCGCTGGCCGACGGTTGTCAAAGCAACGGGTTGAAAAGGTGTTTGATGTGGGGGAAACACAACGGTAAATCTGCCCTCGCTTACCGGACCGACCAATCAGAGGCCGCCCCAGCTGCTGACATGTGACAGCGCTTAGCCCCGCCCGCCTGGACCAGAGGCCCGGAGTCTCGAGACTGTTTAATCTGTGTGTGTGTGTGTGTGTGTGTGTGTGTGTGTGTGTGTGTGTTTGACCAAAAGAAGGGTTAGGAGAGAGAGGCAGCGTGAAAACAAGATGGAGGAGCTGAGGCAGAGAAAGAATGTGTTCAGGACGAGGTCAGGGTCAGAGTTTCCAAACTTTGACAAACTGAGTGAAACACGTCTGACGAGGAAATCTGTGAGTCGACAACCTCGAATAAAAAAACACACATGACCAAAATCTGAGATAAGAATGAGCACTGTGTAAATTCACTGAGGTCAAGAGAGTCATTTAGTGGTCAGGTAAACTTCTTCAGACCGCCTGATGTGAATTTAAACATCTTTTTACAGTTACAGAACAAACGGTCACATCTGGATTAACGAGGTTCTTAACGAGGTTCTTAACGAGGTCCTAAAGTACCAGTTGTGTCTAATCAGATGTTCTGTACAGTGTTGTACCTAAACACGTTCAATAAATGATCGTTCATGAATGTGAATGTATCGTTCTTCATTTGCGTATGCACGCGCTCATTCTAACGTCTGTGAGTGGCGTTCTAATCTCCGTTCACAAGAGTGTCTGATGTCCAGAGTCTTCCAGGCCAAACCTCAGCTAAAACACAATGTCTTTAAGAAACCTTAAATGGATATCGTATCACAATATCATATCATTATTGTTTCTTGTTATTGTTATTTCCAGTGTTTGTTCTGGTTCCTCTTTAGTCTGACTGAAACTGGATTTGATGTGAATTGTTTCCAGGTCGGTTTGGAAAAGTATAAAAAACTGAAGGACTACAGTCGTGTTGTTGAAATTATAATAAAGAGTCAAAAAACCATCAAGCAGCAGGTTTTCCTCATGTTGATGAAAATAAACTCTAGAGATGAACGTTGGTACTAGTGAGGACTGAACTAAACATCAGGGAAACACCGTTATTCTGAGGACTGTCCTCTCTGTTGTAAACCTGGTTGGATTAGGATTCATTGATTAATCTGACAGAGTTTTAGAGTTAAAACAGCTAAAATAATCGCTGTCTGTGGTTCTTTGTTGGCTCCATAAGAAATGATGACAAATAAGTTCATTTTTGGGAACCATGTAAAAGTGGAATCATGAACGATGAACTGAACGAGTTAAATTTAAAATGTGTTAAAAGAACTTGGGAAAGTTCATTTTCCACCTGAACTAGTCCAAACACTGGTTCTGTAGCTCTGACTAACAGGTAATGTCACAATACAACAACGCTCTACTACCTGGATGTAAACGTGCACAGACCACACCTGCTCAGATTATTCTCTTATTCACTTTGAGGTCTCTCTCTCTCTCGGTCGTCCTCAGACTCGGCCAGTTCTGAAGAGCTTTCACCTCCCGCATCCTTCTTCAGGACGTCCACATACGTTAGCGCTGAACGTCCTCGTGAACGGCGCCCGTGTGTTGGTTCCCATAGGACCAGCCTCCTGATGTCTATGGCGGTGGGTGGTCAGCCTCCTCCTCCTAGATTCTGCCCGTTTAGGTCCTTGTTGGTCATGTGGATGTTCTGGTCCACGTTCAGGACAGCTCGCAGATTCTGGTGTAGCACCCGTCCAGGGTGGGTGTCAGGAGGACGGACTCCACAGTGGCGTGGAACAGGTCAGTGAGCGCCTTACAGGTGGCGAATGATTTCCTGTTTAAACATATTTTACCGTCTCCATGACGACCTCGGTATCGAAGACTTCAGAGACGCTAATGAATCTTTAATGTACCTCAGAAACTTCACCTGCTCCCGTCACACACACACCTGTACAAACCGGTCAAAGTGGCTTCATGTGAAATGATCTAAAACCGAATAATCTTTAAAAGAAACGAGGAGTTTTAAAAACAGCCCAACAGCAGTCACTTTAATTACCGCCTCATTACCACTAAACACCGTCTAATTGAGAGAAAATAGAAAGCCCAGGTAGTTTAATGATACTGTTGTTTTTCCGCAGACATGTTTCAGAGTCTAAATTTGCTTTTTAAACGACTTTCAACCAAAACTTTCAATTAAAGCCGGAGAAGCTTAATTATTCTGACACAGGCCGCCGCGCTCAGTTTCCCCACAGAGGTTGTGATTTCATCACGTCACCTTTTCGCAGAACAAAAGCTGGAAACACCGACTTTAACTCCGCGTTAAACTTCAGATTAACTCAGAGAGTTTGGTTTTCAAAAACTAGGGGTTTCCATGGAAACAGAGTAAGATTTGGACCAATCAGACGCCAAAGTCAGACACGGAAAAGTAAAGAGTGTACAAATCTGCAGAATAGTCATCCAATCATACTTTCTAAAACCCCAAAAAGGGGCGGGGCCAGGTAAATAAGTGATGTAGTGTTAGAAAGACTTTGAAGACTCGTCTATATTCATGCTGACGTGTCCGTGATCGAACCGTGAGTAACATCCACACGCTCACGGCTGACATCGGTGAAATGCCATCCACAGTAAAGTGAGCGGGGGTCTGATCCGAGAACAGTAAGTGCTGTTAATTCTCCTCCTCTCAGATCACCTCCTCATCTTCGTCTCCTCATCATCTCTCTTCAAAGGTCAGATCCAGCCGCTTCGCTCCGTTTTATTTAAAATGAGGTTTTTTTCTCTCCACCTCGGCAGCCTCCGATTCAGCGTCAGAAACATACAGAGGAAAGAAGATATAAACCTGAACGACGGGTTTCAGACGGCGAGAGAGAGCGAGAACAACCGTAACAAAAACACGTAATCCGACTTTAATACAATCATACAAACATAGACACAACAGAGGAAGATGTTCCAAAAAGGTAAATATGTAGATGTTTCTGACATCACACTCTGTTGTCCTATCAAAACGATCCTGAAGGACACGCCCACTCTGAAGAGTTTTCTAACTTTAACGTAACTGTGTTCGCTCGCCGCTTCACTGACGACTCGTTTGTGAACAAAAACCAGTACGAGCTGGATCTGAGTCTCAGCTGATACTGGGTTCACTGATGACGCAGAGCTAGCACAGGTGCGACAGTTCAGGCTCCGACTTTTCCCGCCGAAACCGATCTTTGTTCTGCTCATGTCTGTAAAGCTGTGTAAAAATTTCTATCACTCAGTGCGTTTACGTGACACTCGAGAAAACCGAATTATCGCCATATTCCGATTAAGACCAGACAACTGAAGGTCATGTAAACACCTTACTGGCTAAACCCACAGGATCCAGAATGGCTCCGCTCTGGTACGGACTGTCAGGGAGATCAGATCCGCAAGTCTACAGCGCCCACCGGATCCAATCTGCCGCCGCCGCCAATCAGTGTAAATAAACACCCACATCCCACAACCCTGGCGTCTCCTGGTATCAAGTTAACAACAGTTCAGTGTATTTTTTTTTGAAAATTAACCACCTACAACTTCCGCTGTTGCTCCTGCTGCACTGAATTGATGTGCCGTGCTTCGAAGCAGCAGCGAAGACGGACGGATTCTGTGGAATCGCTCACGTTGACTATAATGCTTGTGAACTTGATCTGCTGGCCGTGCCTGAGCGGCGCGGAGCCGTTATGGACCCGTTAGTCCAACTGTAATCTGAGTTTGAGAACTTCAATTGAGACACCCAGATATCGCGATTGGAATTCGATTTTCTCTACCATGTAACCAGCGTAGTCGGAGTATGATCGGTTACAGGCCACGCCCCCGTAACCCCGTAACAAACCCCCAGAGTAGAGGAGTAGCGTTAGTCTCCTCTTTAGAAAAAGTAGCGCGTCCATCATGTCGGACAAAAACAACGCTGTACGATGCTCCATCTTCCTGTTGTATGGGCAGCAGTTGTAGACACTTCTGACGTCTGACACCGACCTGCTGTTGTTGTTGACGGTTGGATGGGGTCGGAAACAGCGCCGCTGTCCTCGCCCCCTAGATTCACGACTACAAAGCTGTGTAAAAAGTAACACCCACAGGCTGTG